TGGAGAAGATGAAGGATCGTTACTGAGTAACGATCAGTAACCGAATAGAGTTTATCTTTATCTTAATTCAACAACGTCCAACAGTGCGTTTGTAAAATGGCTCTGACATGCGTAAATTTATTTATCACAGCGTTCGTTCATCCGTGAGTCATTGGCTTTAGACTGAATTCTAATTCTTTCAACCTTTGCAAGAAAGGTCCATTTAACCGGAAAGAGATGAAAAGTTTGAGACTGAAAATCTCAGTTGAGATACAACGGACATTGACTCTCAACAAAACCGACTGTTTTGAACAATTACGCAATAGTTCGGTAGTAAGGTTTTGCTCACAAAACATATATATGCAGTGTTGAAAAGACAAGGATAAAACTTTGGAAAGACCCAAAGACAAAGAGGGTTCGTTTTTAAATGCGAAACTTTATTGCGAACGACGAGGGGGTTTAAAAAAAAATCTCAAAAATAAATGATGTCATTCCTGTATTTTTAAATCTCCGGCTTTTGTCGTCTACAGGTTTTGTCAAGTCCCGACTTTGCTGCTTTTGATTGACGTCTGAAAATTTCAACACGATTTACACTCCGTTCCACAAACGCCCGTCTTCACTCTTCCAAACCAACAGCAGGCCTGGCTGAAAAAACAGTCAACGATGCCCACTATTGACATTTTCTAGCTAACAATTAAGCAAGACAAAGAGACATCCGGAACCACTATTAATAATAACAATTTCACAGTATTGGCTCTTAAGGAAGGTCTACAGCTCATTGAAATACGTCTGTATAAATTTGTTTCTCTACCATAGCGAGATTTGGAGAAAAAAGAGCGATGAGGGAGGCATGGAAGTAGACTGTGTGTTCAGCCGACAGAAGTTGCCAGGGTCAACATAAGGGCCAAAGATATTGACACGTTCAAGCTAAGCAAAAATAGACCACAGAATTATTAACAGAAACGGCTCGCAAAATTGTCAGTTTACGTAGCAAACAAACCTCGCTTTCCACTCAAGGAGGGTAGTAAATCGAAGCGAGGACGAAAATGATTTCTTCCGTAAAATCACATGAATTTCACAAGACGTATGGTCATCAGTCGTTTGAACTCTACGGATATCTGTTGCCTTTTGCAGTGTTGGTGACATGAACGCCGACTGCGCTTAAAGTAGCCTTCCAAATCTGCTGTAATCCGGCTACGATTCCCGCAGATAAACTCTATTTTACCCGGAATAAACTCTAGAAACCATTTCATATTTTCCTGCCCTTTAAGCAGAATTCTAATTTGCTAGAAATTCGACGCCGAACGACAAAAATATTTCAGTACGTACCGGATGACTGCACGATTAATGTCGACTTGACTTCGAATACATAACGCAAATCAATAAGGTTATGTTATCAAAATACTTTAGCCAGTAAAATGCTGTACCTTTGTCCTCAAGAACGCGCTTCTTTTTCTGTATTTTGTCGGTGGAATTAGCACTTTCGAGTTCTGTTTCTTCCATTGCGCCAAGGAGACGTCGTTTGCGCGAATGACCGCGAGAAAATGAAAGTCTAAAGCCATGCCAACTGACTCCTTTGTTTTAATTGGTGTTATGACATCATCGTTGATGACTGACTGCCGCCGAATCCCCACCTCAACTGACTCAGCTCCTTATCAACGATGACTCCGATATCGCGAGCTCGCAGAAACTTTCAAACAGTATTTGTGGCATTTGACAGCGAATGAAAAATATGAAAGCCATTTTTTCTACCGGGGAAACCATAATGCATTTTTGATGCGGCTGGCGGCGGGTGAAGTCTTCGGGTGACACATGTATTTTGAGGTGTCAACTTGCCAGTCACTTGTCAATCACAGCAACAAAAAGGCTCCGACAGCTGGGATCTACTGAATGTGAAACTCAATATATCCCATTTTACATTTTAAACTGTTTGTGAAATAAACGCAGTTTTTTAAAGTCGTTGTACTCAAACCTACAAGAGCTTTTAATTTGAGCATTTGAAAGAGTGTTTTATGAACATGTCAACATGCTTTCTACAAGGCGATATGCAAATACAAAGAAATGATCAATACCTCCAAGTGCCATGACAATGGCGCAGACAGAGTGTTCGAACCACTCAAATAATTAAAAAATACCTTTAATAAAACAGTCTGCGAGTTTAGTCCGGCTCTTAGAAACGCACCAGTGGCTACAAAACTAGACTTATTTTACGAACAAGATGACTTTCTACTTCTCTGTGGAGCTGCTGTTTGCGACATCATTCATCCGCGACACATTTATATTTTGTCTACTGAGCTGTTTTGAGTCGCCTCAAGGTATCGCCGACTGTGCAAAGTGACCATTAATTATTTAAGTTAAGCTATTTATTTTTTTTGACAAAATTAGTTTGCCGCATTATAGAAAGGGGAAATTGACGTCCCGACAATTACTCGTACGAGAGGGTGCATGTGAAGGGTGGTCATGGGTCGTTTCGCTGCAAAGTTGTTTCGCTACAAGTCTTTTAGCTGCATCATGAAGTCGATTCGCTGCAAAGTATTTCTCGTTTCGAATACATATTTTCATTGCGTCCACTTCCCGTTCTATTAATTCAAGCCATATCCAAGATCAAGCCCTCGATGAATCGGTGGTACCTCTGGCACTGAACGCTTGTTGTATTACTACGAGTTATAAAACCTTCGAAAATGTGCTCCAGGCTTACCGCGAGTTGTATTTTAGGGGCTGGAGGAAGATCCTAGAAGGCAGATCATCTTAGCGTCATATGTTATCCTGCACCATGTATTAAAACTGCTTTCGCTAGTTAGATCCTCTTACTAGCCGAGGGACAAACCAGACAAAGATGGCGGCGGGTCGTCTTGTGGCTAATCACGGCAACAAAGGCCGACCATTTGATTTTCGTTTGGCGTTATCACGAGCAGATAATGATAACTCTGCTGAAAGGTAGTTGTTAACGCCTGTAAAGAGAGCAGAAGGGCCCAAATTGCATTTTTGTGATTGTCTCCCGCCTCTTCTAGTTGCTAACCACACGAACCGAAACTTCTCCAATTTCCGCCCTCCTAATGCCAAGAACTTCTAGTCCCTCCATGTAAACAGCCCCTAACTCGTCCAGCCACTGTCATTGGGGTTACACGGCAAAAAGACTCGGAACTAACAGCTTAGGTAAAAAGGAGTACCGTTTCCCGGAACGAAATCTGATTGTTTACACAAGTGTTGTAATTAAGGAAAGGTACTTAGGAGTCCCTGGGAAACGGTTACACGACCGTTTACACTGTGTTTCTTTTTTGAGATCGGTACCGAAATGAGGCGTTGCGTTCCGAAAGACGTCCATGACCGCAATGGACCTTTTTGTTTCGAACGGAAGGTTGGTAAAATGTCTAAAATTGGAACTGGTCAAGAACCGTTCACACGTAAAATGTCATTGACTCTCTTTATTTCCATTGTAGTATCAGGATAAATAATTTCTTTCAATTAAAAAATGTTCCATCTATTTTCTTAGACCATCATTTATCATATCAAAATGAAACCGAAAATAAAACATATACCGTATTTACTCGATTCAACGCCGCCTATGATTAAGCGCTGTAGATGGAAGCAAAATTACCAACAAACGCTGCACACGAATACACGCCTTATCGGAACTAAGCTAAAAATTTCACAAACGCCGGCGTTTAATGGAATAAATATGGTACTCAATTGTACATTGATTAGTTCTTCAACGTTTCAAACTTCAAAACTGCAATACTATCTACAGTTACTTCACCTTACTAAGACGAGAATAAATGGGCATGAGAAATTGGAAATTGGAAATGGAAAATGGAAAAATACGAAGGAACATTCCTGAGGCAATGTATATATAAGATCTGACGACAGATTATTGTCCATGGTCTACCAACTTTTATTTAGCATAAAAAATGTCTAATTTCCCATGTCACCCGACGTATGGTTCTTACATAATAATTCACATTTTCCATCGCCATCCCAATTTTGTTCCCATTTTTCATTCCTCCATTCATATTCTCCATTTTACCAGCGTAGTCAGAAGTGTTCCTCGTGATGAACGTAAGCAACAAAAATAAAATCCTATGCATTACAGTTTTAATGCCGTCATTCAAGTACATTCAGATATCCCAATGATATCAACTGCAATCTGCTTGAACAGACTTGAAACAGACTCCCTACGTATTGTTGCACACTGAGTTGCCCCCGTTGCTTGTCACCTGAGAGAATTTCTAGTCGTTTTATTTCCAGTCAACCAGTCTGGTAGCAAAAAACAACAACAACAATATCACTTCGAATGCATTTTCCACACGTGCTGTATTTGTCGCATTTGACAATCTTAAATATGAATACTTTTAATGGAACAGCCAGGGGTTGAGGACTCATTCCGATGTTTTGTGATCAAACCCATGACAACTGAGATGGAGGCTACAAAGCCTGTTTCAGCGTGCAAATAACAGGGGCACCCAACGAGAATATAGTTCCAAACCACTTAAACATAGCATTGTTAAACGTATATTAGTATTTAAACGGTAGATATAGGCAGATTTTTATCCCCTAGAAATTTTTCACCTGTTGGGATTTCCTAGCTGAAAGTCTAGTGATCCGAAAATTATAGGGATGAAAACTTAACTTTTCGAAAATTTCAGCCAGAAAAAAGGCTCTCGAAAATTCTAGGTGACCTTTTTAGGGTAAAAATCCGTTAAAAATGGGCAATTATGCCATTTTTTAGATGTTGGAAAATCCTAGGAGAGGGCAAGCAAGAAATTTTACAACAAATGTTCCGAAAATTCTAGATCTCAAATCGTCTTCCGAACAGATATTTTCCGAAAATTGACGTTGGGTGCCCCTGAAATAATGAGTACGGAAGGAACAAAACAAAAGAGAGTAGCCGTTACATCCGCGAGATTAAAAGAAGAGTGGATGAGACAAAAAACCCGCGGCTGTTATAGTAGAGGTTTGATTGTATATATGTATAAGAGAAACATTAATTTTAAAGACAGAAGAACGGTAACTAACCTGGATGATCATTGCGTGAATTCATTCACTTTGGGTCCCTTTCTTTTCTCGTATTCAAAATACTTAAACAATGTCGAGGAAACTGTAGGAGTTTGCCCTTCCTTATTGCAACTACCTGACTGTGCTTTCTTTTTGGGTCTTGACATTCCCATGGAACGACATCTGCCAAGACCGGTGCTGCGACTTCCTGCAAGAATAAACAAACAATCGTCGGCATTAGGGATCTTACGCAATCACAACGGCGATTGTAGGCGAATTTTTCAGGAGTTGTATTCTTAAGGACAGTATCCAAGTTCAGAAGAAGGAGGAGGAGGAAATCGTCGCCTTGTGTTTACGTCCTTCATAAAGAGGAGGACGACTACGACAACGAGATTTTCTCCATACTCAGTAGTGCGCACGAGTGTAACAGTGTCATTTTGGCGGGAAACACGTGATAGCCGTCGTTAAATCTCGACCTCTTACGTCGCAGTCGTGCAGCGAAGGCGACGGCGACGAAATGTACCAAAAAGTGTGATGCCCGCAGATTGCGATTGCTTTTTCGACTTTCTCGCTCGGCTGTCTTCGCCATGGTGATTATGTGATCTCCCTATCGTGCCAGCGGACCGGAATTCTTCTTTTGATAATTCACGGATCTCTAAACAAAGTAAGGAAGATTGAACTTCGGAAATTCTAGGGAGAATGGGTACAAGCTTTGGGTGCAGTGATTGCTGGGATGATAAAAGCGTTAGTTATGATTGGTCGATGGTATTCAAGGCAACGATTAACCAATCATAACTAACGCTTCTCCACAAAAACCGTCCCAGAAATTATTGCGCCGAAAGCTTGTACCCATTCCCCTTATAATTTCTTGAACGTACAATAGTCGTACCTGGTTTCGAATTCAGTCGAATCTGTTTCTTCATTGTCTAGAAAAGAGAAAAAGAAATAGAGGCAAACCTGTGTACAAACTAAAGCATTTTTTTAAAGAAACAAAGACACCGTACAATGGGCTTGTAAGGGAAATGTCTGCAGTGTTTGTTTTATAACCGCAATTCGACGGTTGCTGTCTAATCGAGTTAGAATGAATGTAAAGAGGTAGATATGGATATAGCGAGGTAGATATATAAAAGATCCTCATGCTTCAGTCCTGACTAGTTTGCGGAATGTCGTGGGTTCATTTTCAATCTGGAACTCAGAGTTCTTTTCTCCTCAAACACATCATTCTATTTATTATTTATTGCTCAGAGAGTATTTATGTCACTACGTGATGCAGTTAATTCTTGTGATCAATTGACATAATGTGACTGCGCGAGGCGCTCGTTGTGTCAGCCCACAAATGACCTGCTCGTCATTAAAGTTCTCGATAGCTTAGTGGTTAGAGAATCCGACGAGTGTCTGGAAGATCGTGGCTGTTTAATTTGCATCTGGAACTCGGTCAAGATTGTTTCTGAGTTCCTTTCTCCAGACATATCATTTTATTTGCTATTCAGTCATAACAGCAGTTAAAAAGGTGTGAATCTTTAAAACAAACAAAACACACAGCATACCCTGGTCCCAACGGCGCTGCCTTGGCTAAGAGGCAAACTTCTTCCCGAGGAGAGTGGAGTTAGGTGCGCGATAGCCGACGATGTAGGAGTAGGTGTGTCACCATCCGTACTCTGCTCTGTATCTGACAAGTATCCGCTGTCAATATCTATAATCTCAAGCGGCGGCACAGGAATATCAGTTTTCTCATTCGCAATTGCCTGTGAGGGAACTGACTTGGAATTGTCCAGTCTTCTTTTTTTAACAGTTGGTTTGTAACCAAACAGTTCGCCCAAGCTTTTGTTTCCAGTCTGAGTATTTAACGAGTGGTTTCTCAAAACGCTTTGTTTCTGCAGCTTTGAAGAGGTATCGGAGATTCTCTGTGACGAGGTCCTTTCTTGACTCTCCTCGAGATTTTTCGCTGAAAGACGCTCACTGCTGGAAGACACTTCACAAGAATGAAACTCATTCTCTTTATTTTCCTCAATATCGCCCTCATCGTTACTTCCCTTTCCCACTTCGTTACCACTACAATCCTCCGCCGTGATATCTTTTAAAAGAGTAAGTACAGCCCCAGGATCCCCTGTACTAAAAGCGCTTGCCTCGTCCTCATCTTGACATTCCGAATTCGTCACCTCATTATCTTCGTTTTGCTCCTTGCGTTCAGGGCTTCCAGCGAGATTAAAATACCTTTTGAGAAACAAGTTCAACAACGAGATGAATCCAATAGAACTTGCCATACACTGCAGTGAATACTATGCGCGTTTGATTCAGATTGCTCTTTGCTTACGGACTATTTGGGTCTACAGACACACGACTGAAGAGATGGAGGAATTCTTTTCTTCGTTTGTTCAACACGGCGCACAAGTGTAAAAATGTTAAGAATAACGAAGATTATTCTGGATTAAACAAGTGAAAGCTTTGAGGAATGTTTATCAGATGATGATTACAAGCAAGAAAGAGACAAAAGGTACTTTCGGTGACTTTCCCTGAACAGTCACGATCGAGCGCTGCGAGGCCAGTTTCTCCATTATTATTAAAATAACAAATATATCCAGTATGTTTCTGTTTAGATGTAGATCAGAGAAGACGAAAAACTGTGAAATGTCCCCATTTAGTGATCATATCGCACTAAGTGATACCCTTCCACAGGCAAATCTAGGAAAGGGTGGGCGGGGACCCAGGCACCCAGGGGCCCGGGCAACCGGGGGCACCCTCCTTACTTTTAGGCCAAAATGGCCACACCTACCTGCTGAATTCTGTTTTGCCTTTTGACTCCATATCTTGACCATTGAATTTAAATGGATTCTTGAACTTTGCCCTCTTAAGGCCATGACCCAAAGTACTCGATCCCTTGCGTTCAACGTTTGATGGTGCCCGTGTTAACATTGGCCTTGGCTTGAGAGCGGTGTACATGTTGACGAGTGAATCATCGTCCAAAGCGTCCTCTTCAGCTTTTCTTTTCTGGCCTGGTGGCAGGAAAGGCTTCTTTGTTTTGGCAGACTGTTGTGAATTAAGCAGCAGTCCGGAGAGATTTTTCTGAACGTCGTACCCAGTTTTTCCTCTCTTGCTCATGACCGAGTGACCAAACGATGACGTGGTGACTGGGGTGAGAGAATCGGATTCAATATCCACGTCCTCGCCAGATTTACCATCAGACCCAAGATCTAAGACCTGAAAAAAAAAGCAGAATCGAAAGTGTTGGATACCGTCGAAACTCCAGTAAGCGACCACCCAAAATGGGAAGACTTAGTGGTCGCTAACGGGAGGTGGTCGCTTACGAGAAAAGAACCACAGGGGCCGGTCTTCAGTTTCCGAAAAGATGTGCGAACACATCTACTTTATGGAACTTTGGTTATTCAAAGTAATTGTTGCTTTACAGTCATCTCCGCTTCGATAAGCGATTTTTTGGGCCCTGTTGAACAACATGAACAGGGATAACGGAAGCAAAATGTCTGAAGAATCAAATACATTCCTACTATCCAAACCTCAAGGGTCGATCAGTACAATCATAGAATACCTAAAGCAAAAACTCGGCTTCACTGGAAAACGGGGAACACAAAAAAAGCAATCACAGGCAAGCAACAAAGGGCTTGCTACACCTCAAGTGAATAGCCTGCGTAGCAGGCGCTTGGCGCAAGAAAGAACGGGCGCCTGCTACGCAGGCTACAAGTGAATTGAGCAGATTAGAGAGCTTTAGATTCGAAGACGAGGACCACTACGAGTGCAAGATTTGAATGAAAGTTTTTTCGCGTATTCTCAAAAAACAGACACCCCGGAAAGCTTCACTGTACCTCTGATTCACCAGAAATGTAAGCACTGTTATTTATTGAAGGAGGTTAAGCCCTCTCCCGATCGTACAATGATAAAACTTATAACATTTGACAACTTGTTCCCGCCACTACGACATTCTCGCTAAAATTCGTAGTAGAATGACGACGGCTATCACGTTTTCTCGCCAAAATGACGTTGGTTCACGCGCGAGCCCAACTTAGTATTAAGAAAATCTCGCACTCGTAGTCGTTATCGTCATTATCGAAAAGTGAATTCGATACCTTGGTTTTACACGGGCTGAAATTCGCTATCACTTCCCCTGTGATGGGATTGATGTTCCCCAGTGCAATTCCGAGCGCTTTCTCTCCAGACATCAACCTTTCATCTGTTAAGGTTTTAACAATGATACTTTCAAACACAAAGCCTCCACAAGTTTGTACACATTCACATGAGTGGTACACACAATTTAGTAACACTAGCTAAGATGACTTCGTCTCTCATCCTTATATACCAAATACACACCACAGCCCTTCTCAACACACCAACACCCCCTCCTACTAACAAATAAACAAGAAATTGGTTCTTCTCGTTCGCGACTAACAACATGCAGCTAGTGTAACAATTTTTACTGATAATGTCGTTTTTCAGTACTAAATCACGACGGAAATCGAATCTCAGATAAAACAACAGATTCATTTAGACGCAAAACGCTGCTTGTTTTCCGATATGTTCTGCATTTTTTTTTTTGTAGTCCATGAAATAAATTCATATGGAAATCATCACGACGAAATTTTACACATTGTTTAAGAGTGGAGTTGGGACACTCCGAACATAGAAGATATGGCAACAAACGTTAGTGCAACTTATATTCTGAAAATAATGAGGCCTCAACGGAATTTAAGCCAATGTTTTCTGCGAATAATGATGCATGAGAAGGAGTTGATTCAAATGAGAGTCCAGTTTTACGTGGAACGTAATGAAGACATAACGGCATAAAAAGAAACAGATTGTTGTGTCCGCCGTATTGTCACAGTTTTTCTTAGTTATATAAAAAAGATACACAAGGATACGAAGTTTCGTAAATGACAACCAGACTTTATACAACATTAAATTTTACGCTCTGATCAATAGCTTCTCAAAAATGCAGACGTATGTGCAACAAGTCTTTTCCAGGACTATTGATTTATAATTTTATCTTTTGTTTTAAGTATACATTTCTGGATTTCTTTGCATAACTTGAAGCTTATTGGTTTTAAGTAATTAAAAGTATATAAATGGACGCTTCCCTTTTAGCCTTGGCTAAATTTATATATTATATAAAAGATATACGAGGATACGGTCCGGCAAACTCCAGATCACCAAGTTCTATGCCTTCTGGTAGCTCGTTCAATGGAACCAGCTTCTTGGAGATGGGATCAAAAACTAGTTGATACAGAAAAGTTTCGTCTGCTTGTTTGAAACTCTTTTCATAGTCTGCAGGGACCTGCATCTTGGCGTCTAGTCTCAGGGAACGTATCGCCTGGGAAAAATAAAATAGAATGGTTCATGGCAATGAATAAGCCCTTAAAAAAGCTACTTTCGGGACTCTCAACCGGTAAAGCATCTACCTTGTCAACGGAAGATGATTTTCTCAGAAGTTTCAAAGCCTTGTGAAGTCCAATCCCCTTGACAGAAGGCAAATAATCGCAGCCCGACAGTATGCACATGTGTCGGAACTTTTCTTGGGTGAACTCATGCAGCTTAAGGTCTGTCAACTTGGAAAGATCGGCTAAATCAATGGCCATACCATGGCCATAGGCATCCATCTTGAAGATTACCTGGAAAACGAGAATACATGCACATTTATTAAAGTTAACAAGGTTCCCCTAAAGAAGAAGGGCAAAATGATGATGATGATGATGATGATGATGATGATGATGATGATGATATTGAGTAGGTCGCAATAGATAACAGCGAAAAAGGTACAGAGTGCTTCTTACCTGTGGGGGTAGGTATGGAAGGATGGAGGGTCGAATCCTTCCATACTTACCCTCACAAAAGTACAGATCAGTAAAATAAAAACATATCTTTTCTATGATTAGCATGCAAGCACTTCTGTGTCTATCACATCAGCTATACGGGTATGAGAGGCTCCAAAGGGTGTGGTTTTTTACCCCATATGGTCAAACATTAGGTATGGTTTTTAGCTGTTTGGCTCTAAAATAAAGTAAGAGTCTGAGATCAGGGATTTTTTCTCTATTTTTACCATTTGTCTTTGAGAAAGATGCTTCAAGACTGAGAAAGGTTGTTAAAATCACATATTTTTGTCCAAAATTCACGAAGCATGCCACACATCCCCAATTTATTTTCCAGGAGAACACCTCTTCCCCCACCCCCTTCCAATGTCAGGCAACAGATAACTACACATTACTAAGGTTCTGGCTTATAACAATCAAGGAAAAATAGACTGCGAGCAGTCACTCTTTTGCCCAACACCTCACTGCTTGCAGCTTTGCTGCTCGCATACTCACGTATCGCACTAGCTTAAAGATTTTTGAGCAAAAGAAAGACTGATTGTGCAGTATAAAGGAAAAAATAACTCTATAAATTGTAGGGCATATCATAAACATAAAGGTCACCTACCTTTTGGCATCCATACACAAGTAAATCTGAGTCTTCAGATATAACGGCAGAAGTGATCCCAGTTTTCATTAAATATGCTAGCTGAGCGTCAGCCTCATAAGGTGCTACAATGCAGTCTACACCTTTCTTTCTACATTCCTAAAAAGAAAATAGAGAGTTTTAGCTTCACGTATAAAGCAAACGGCAAACGTCAGATTCAAGTTGAAAATTTCTCAAAATAGAAAATGAGCAGATAAAAGTGGTTCAAAACAATTCTTATGGGTAAAAAACTACTTGAAACCAACAATAAAAATATTTATGTGTAGAAATAATGAACAGTAAATGAAAAGTAAAGAGGAAATTAAACTTTTAAAACCTCTTTAATACAGCTTTATCCAGGCATGTTTTGGGCCATGTGGTTTTGCAGGTAACGAAAAATAAGCCGGGGCTTATATTTTTATCCAGGCATGTTTCTTTGAGGGAAATTTGTGTTTTAAAATTGATTGGGCTAGCCTTATAGTGCCACTTTGTATTTAAGGGCAATTTCCAAGTACAAACCCCTGGGGGGCTTACATTTGGAAGGGCTATTTAACGGAGGGTTTTTTGCATTACGAGTTATATTTGGAGGGGCTTATACAAGGAGGGGCTTATTTTCGGAATTTTACGGTATCTATTCAGATACCAATAGCACCACACTAGAAATGAGAAGGAAACTATTCCAAGTTAACTTTTGAAAAGACTTCTGGGACTGTCACTGGAGGCAGGGAAAAAATTGGCCAATAGCTGGCCAGCGCATCTCCAATGATAATCCCAGAAGTCTTTGCAAAAGCAAACTCGGCCAAGGTTCCTTCATACATCTAAAGTGGCAGATGGGGCTAGCATTGTCAATTCTTCTTTAAGCCCCAATATCCACAACCAAATTCTCCACACTGATATTCATACATTTCCTTAGAGATACGTCGAGAGGGTTTAATAACAGATCAAAGCATTTTCTCTCTGGTGATCATTTGATTAATTCTCGTAACAATTTCTCTTGACAATGTATGGATATTGTTAAAAGAAAATTGATGATTGTCACTATTGGGACTTACAGTGTTAAGCAATGTATCAAAATAAAAAAATGTTACAAACAAAAACAATGAACTCTGAAAAACTGTTAGGCTAACAAGTCTTCAAAAACCCACAATTTTAATCCATTTTATAAAACTTATTCAAGTTTGTGAAAGGTTTGAACCCAGGAGTCATTTCAAAAGTAAGTTGAGTTTGATCATCCGGGTGAACGTAGTCCTGAATAGGACTGTTGTTGTTGACAGTGACTGACGTTTCGACAACCTGTGTGGTAGTCATCTTCAGAGTTAAGTTTGCCCATCCATGCCTACTTTTCTATCTGCTGTGTTGTTAATACCTTTGTTTACTGTTTTGTAAGGTTATTTTTATGTTTCACTCTGTCAATATGGTGGCAGTGCCTGTGGCTAGAATTTTTATAAAATTTGTGACACAACTCCTTTAAGATTAGATGTCTGTGTATCACCTGTTACTGCCCCCTTGTAAAATTACTGTTAGGGGAAGAAGACCATGATTATGTGGACAGTGTCAAGAATACAAAAGCAATCAAAAGAGACAAATAACAGCAGCAGTACCTTAATTACTTCAAGAGCCATCTCTGGACTGATATCAACACACTTCTGAAAGCATTCTAAAGCCTGTTGCCTGTTGCCAGCTCGCAAAAAGGCCAAACCTTTGGCCTTATTTTCTTGTCTTGCCCTAGAAAAATAGAAAATTAAGAGGCTGAAATTTAAGTGCGAGAATAGCAAAAAATATTCAGCTGCACCCTGGTTTAACAACCAACACCAAAGGCCCTGTGAGGGCACATTTCTGACAAGTGACATGGCCTTGAAACAGCAACGCTAGAGAGATACTATGACAACAAACGACACAAAGATAGGTTGAAACTAGGAGAGCGACGAGTACAATAGTAAAACAAAATACATAGATATTTTCTGGATCCTTATATTTGAAATGTTACATACTTACTTTCTTCGTTGTTCCTCTTGACCTGCCTTGGAAGGTAAGTATGATCCATCAAAGACTAAGATTGGCTTAACATTAAAATGCAGCAGCATATTGATACGCTTCAAAACATAGTTGACATATCTGAAAAACAGATGGTTGGATGACAATGCAGTCAAGCTAAAATCATTTCTTGTAACTATTACTGTGGATTTTAAAAGAAGTCAAAGTCTTTCAGGTCTGTGGTTAACCAGAACTGGAAGTTTTTTTACGGTGGGGGGGGGGGGGGGGGTTGGAGAGCCCTAACTACAGCATTCTAGAGGGGCAAATGATCCTAGCAAAAGAAAGCATTATAAACAACTAAATGACTGTACATGATTTCAGATTTCCGTTATGTTTAAATGTCAGAGTTACTAAAATTAATGAGAAAAGCAGCTACATACACAAAGCTTTTCTTTCCCTCTACCAGTTCCATGGCGCATCCATAAGCTCCCTTGTGTAACCAGCAGTAGGCGTCCACTGCAATAACCTGACCGGCAAAATCTTCAGCAATCGAAACGGGTTTTTGGATTGGCTTTAGCAGAGGAAGCAAGCCTTGGATTCCCATTTCTTACTCTTGTCAATACTAACAATCGTTACCACTGCTAAGAAAGTTAAAAGGCCAATGTCGATCTTCTCCAAACATCACTGAAATTGCGACGCCATCTAATCACACGAAGACGAAAGCGCGGAGAGTTCGGCTGCGAAATCAAATAAGCATTCACAATTTTAAAGATATAAGAATAAATTCCTTTAAAATTATTAATATGAGCAGGATCTTGATCGAAACAAACTTACTTCCAAGTTGATGGATGGTGACAAATTCGCAAATTCGATTCAACAACAATTCAACTGCAGGCGAATTATCAACATTTTCATTATTCGGGTCCAAGATCATAGTTTCCTAATTATATGACCCAGTATAACACTACTTACCACTTCTATGCGTTCCTACATCGCTCGATCAAGCTTTCTCATCTTAATAAAGCTACATTTCGAGAGAAACAGGAAGTTTTTTCGCTAAAATCTGCCGAAAGATCAAGCAAAACTGAACAAAATTTCGCGCCACGCGATCGTCCCAGTCTTAACTCTGCAAGATTGAAATGTTTGGAGACTGGGGGTGATAAACTGAGGAAAAAAGAAAACGTAGAAGCAAAATGGCGGCCACGTCAGTTCCTCTGTATTCTCCGTCTTCACAACCTCCTTTGGATATGGAGGTAGATCCACCGGTGGACGAGTTTTCGTTTGGCCCTCCAATGAGTCAAGATGCCTCCATGTACTCTGGATCCATTGAGGCGCAGGAGGAATTCATGGAAAGCGGTCGGAAAGACGACGCGAGTGGAGGCCCTCGGTACAGATTTCCTTTCTATTCGCAAATTTTTAACAAGAAAAACTACGACTGGCTCTTAGAGGTGGATGAAAGCGGCGACGATTTTAACAAGCCACTACTGTAAGTACACTTTTGAACAGGAATTAACTTTTTTCTTAGCAGAAGAATTGTAGAAGAACACAAATTATATATTATATGTAGTTGGAGTTAGCTAGTTCTTAATATGAGCTGTTGTTGGTTCAAGTGGGTTCGACATGTTTCTCCTTTAATCAGCTGTTATTGTGGGTGACTGCATACACCACCATCGTTCAGGTTTTGAATTATTCTCCTTGACCTTGCCTTGCACTTAAACAAGAGCAAGGGAATTGACTGGAAATCACTGTGAAGCTCATACCCGAGCAATGTTTAATAAGCGTAAACATTAATTTCAGACAATTTATTTAATATGCTTTTTTCCTGCAATCATACTCAGAAGTACAAAACCAGCAGGACCTTACAAAACCAATTGTTCATCAGAATGAAAAATACAACAAGGAAACCAATTAACAAAGTCTGTCTTTAGTTACAAGAATGTTACCCTGTAATATTGAATGGGGTCCATTTTGAGGGATGGAACTTACAATTTAGTAAAAAGAGTTTTTCTTGTGCATAACTGCATTTTACAAATTACATCATAAAATATTTTCAGTGGAATTTTTGTTCTATACCAGTCCCCGTGGATAGTGATTTATCCGGTGGATAGCGTTATCCACCTTTTTAACAATCAGGCCGCGGTTGTTCAAACATTGGATAGCGCTATCCACAGGATAAAAATCTATCCAATGGATAGGGCAGTTGGTTTCCCTAATACTTATCTGCTGGATAGTGATTTATCCGGTGGATAGCGCTATCTAACATTTGAACAACCGGGACCAGGTGTACAATAATCGTTAAGGTTGGATATGTCCCTATATGCATGAATGTGATAACAGTAATATTGTCATCAATATTCTGTCATCTTGACAGGTAATAATGTTGGTATTGCCTTGTAATAATATTTACTGTGTTTTTCCAGTGAAGAACTTGACATTGACTTGCAAGATATCTACTACAAGGTGCGTTGTGTTGTGTTTCCAATTCCGTCACTGGGATTCAAGAGAGATGTGCTTAGAGACAGTCCAGACTTCTGGGGCCCTTTGCTTGTTGTGGTTGTATATGCAATGCTGGCATTATTGGGACAATTTAAGGTTAGTTAATAATTTTTTAGTCAACATTAGGGAACTTAAGCAACGAAAACAGCTAAAAAGCAATGGGTTTAGATTGGCAAAACAACAACTTTGCACATGCATGACGCGTTTTTGTACATTTCTTAGCCGTCGTTACATGACTATGACATGAAAGTGCCTACATGTAATTTAACGTTTTGTCGAAGACAGGACCACAAGACAACAGCTTTGTTTTTCTTAACTTGAACTTTGATGGAGTCCTTTGGAATTCAACTCCAAAAAAATTTGCCAACATTTGACGAATTAAACAAGATGGAACAAGCGCGATAAAGTCTTAAGCAGCGCAAATTCACTTTTCAAGTGATGTCTTTGTATAATAATAAGAAAAGGGGCAATGTCATCATAGAGTAGTGATTAATATTATTACACTCAGTAGGTGTACATTATTTTGATTTCATTGACATATTTCTCTTGGTTTACCTTGGCTGATAAGGCTTAGAGGAGGGGGGGGGTGTGTCAGTTATGGCATACATGACCTTAACAGGGCTCGCAATTAGCTTATCCATTGAAGCATCAGCTGGCGTGGCAACACAAAAGAACACAGAATAAATTTACTGACCACTGAGTTATTGACTTGACAGGTTGTCTCCTGGATAATAACAATATGGCTGCTGGGATCCCTCATTATTTTCTTGCTGGCCAGAGTGCTGGGAGGAGAAGTAAGTTTTCAGAATTGATTACTAAATAAAAGTACTGGTGTTTCATGCCATAACACACATATTTATATTGTTTGGAGATAAGTGATGTTTGCCACACTTGGTGCTTGAAGACTACCCACAATGTTACAGTACAGACCCATTCAAAATATACTTAATGGTTTTGTTACATTTCAGGTAAACTACTCTCAGTGCTTGGGAGTGATTGGCTACTCACTTATTCCGCTTGTTCTGACTGCTGGCGCTCTGCCTTTGGTGCATTATTTTCCCATGGTTAGCTTCAGTGTCAAGGTAATTAACAAAAATTCGCTCAAGCAAAAAATTGTTGTTCTGCCAAGGCTGCAGCTGAACTTTTAACCATTGGTGATGATTTTGCTCAAATTGGAACACAAATCAAACCTTTGAAAAAAAACCTAGGGTTTCAAAAAAACTGTAAAAAAATCTCTGGAACAAAACTTAACCCAGCTCCAATAATTTCCAAGTGCCTTATTTGCAGAACTATGCAGCAAGGATACATAAGCATCACCAGAAATCTCCAGATGCTTTTCAATTCCCACAAAACAACTTAAATCAAGCCACACACACACACACACAACACAAATTTTCAAATAATTTCCTGCCCAGTGTAAGAAACCCAGGAATTGAAAATTTGAAGCCCAGAGATTCTACAATCACCCCTGTCACTTGAAATCCAGAGTACCCCCCCCCCCCCCCCCTTCCTTGCTCTTCAGTTAGTGCTTCAACTCTACTTTGGACAGTGTGGTGAGCTCATTTGCCTTTTTAGATAAATCTCATAGTCCAGATCTTAGACAAGAATACCGTAAAATTCCGAAAATAAGCCCGTCCATGTATAAGCCCCTCCAAATATAAGCCCCCCAAACCGGTAAGGCAAAAAACCCTCCATTAAATCGCCCCTCCAAATATAAGCCCCCCGGGGGCTTGTACTTGGAAAATTGCCCTCAAATACAAAGTAAAACAAAGCAAAAACGGTAAATTTACTTCCAACTATAAGGATAGCCCAATCGATTTTGAAATGCAAATTTCCCCCCGTATATAAGCCCCTCCGAACATAAGCCCCTCCAAAAATAAGCCCCTCAGAAAGGGCCTTTGAAAAATGTAAGCCCCGGGGCTTATTTTCGGAATTTTATGGTATGTTCTTTATTCATGTTGTATCAGATGCTGGGCAAAAAATGTTTGTCCCTGAGGAGGTTTAACAAAGAACCTAGAACCAGATGGTCTCCTTGAGGCCTAAAAACTGATCTGTTGCTATGTTTGTTCTGGGATTCTCTCATGTGAATGGCCTACATTGTATCTTGTCAGGTGCAATAATGACATTTTAAAATTCTGCTGAGCTCTAAAGACACAGAGCTTGGTTTCAAAGTGTTAACTTCTTGCTTCATTATACTCTCATAATGTTTTCTTCAAATATCCTGTCCTAGGGAACAATCACAATATTATTTGTTTTTGTTGAAAGCATCATCATGGTAACATCCATTTAATGTTTTTTCCACTTCAGCTGTTTGGTGTGGTTTGGGCATCATACAGCGCAGGATCTCTCCTCATACAAGATGAACTCAAGAACAAAAGACTCTTACTTATGTACCCAATATTACTACTGTATATCTACTTCTTTTCTCTGTATACTGGTGCATGAGATATTTAATATGTACTCACATTATACGATCCAATAGTTTACGGTTTATAAGTCAATTTGCAGTTATCTACAAAGCTGTTGACCCAGTTTTTGACAGTAGAGGGGCAGTGACTTTGTTTCCATGGAAAATTCAGTGTCGTTCATATGCATGAAAGCAGGATCTACATTTCAAATGAACTGAAGTTTCTATCAAAACAAAGTTACCTGAAGCCCTGCTTTTACTCAAGGTCACAACAGTCAGTACACAACTGTAAAATTGTCTGTTTGCCTATAATAGAGACAAGCAAGCTGACCCACAGTAGAGTTAATTCAGCTACACGCTTATGGAACAAGGAAATTATACACATTTCTCATTTCTTCTCTTGCTCCACAAGCTTGAAAGTGCCATGTAGTTAACTTTTCGTGTGGTTGAGGTTGGGCGTTACGTTTGTGGGTTATTTAACTGGTTAACCGATCCAAAAGCAGTCGGACTTGTCACTCAAGGCCCAGATACATAAGAGAACTTAGACTGCTAGGCTACCAATCCAAAGGTACAGTCCAATGTGTCTTGCCATTTAGTACTGGAGACTAAGGGAATTAGAAATAGATATGTATTTTGTTTAGAGTTACTAGTAATTATTGTATATGTATTTCAAGAATAAATATAGGCGTATACAGGTGTATGCCATGTGGTTTTCGCCAAATTCAGTCCATCCTCAGATTAAATTGAGGCTGTTGTATTGGGGCTTCGCGCTATTCTCCTACGGCTTAGCGTCATGTCCGACCGGTTGTGAATTTAGAAACTTAACTAATGTGTGAAGAGTGTACATAAAATGGGAATAAAGTTTGGTTTTCTTGGCATTGTACGCTTCCCACGCAGGATACCTGCAAAACGGCCCCCCACTTAGTAAAGAAACTGCTTTGCGGGCTCTGAATCATGTTTTGGGAAGTACTAAATGTTATTGCACTACCGACTCAGAAGTACCACGATGATAATATAAGGCTTTAGTCGTTGCTGTGAATATTAAGTTTATATGTTTGTCTTCACGACAATTTCTAAATTTCGATCCAGGGTCTTGTAAACAGGAGCGGTGACAGCCGACGCACTGTCCAAGCTGAGAACTTGAGGAATTCCTTCGCTTTCTCACAAGTGCAACAGAGATCCAAAAGCAAGTCAACGAGTGAGCGTTCAGTTATTCATGTTCGCAAATACTTGGAAGACGTTTTCTTTCACACAAGTTGAATATAAAGGGTCAAGAGTACTCAATGCGCAAAGCGCTTATATTTACTTACTGACCTTGTTTTCGAACTAGCACGTGCGAGAACGAGATGTGTTTATCACAACCGCTTAATGAAAATCCTTCCGGTGAAAACAATTCTCTGCCAAAAATTTCCCAGAAGAACGAACAGAGGATATCCTCTCTTGGAAAAGTGATTTACGACCTGTTATTCACGTCTCCCTGGTGCTAGTGTTTATCATGATCAAATTCTGTTATTGCCATTTGTAAGGTGTTTGTTAAAGTATTTTCATCGCTACTTTTGTTATTAATCTCTTTCCTGTTCCTTGCGATTTTCGTTATTTTCTCTCCCCTCTTGCGGAAAGGTTTTCATGTCTTACAGATAATCTCCTTAATTCATCCGCTGTGAACGTTCGCGAAGCGCGTGTGTACCTCTCAAAGCTTAGTTTCCGACTGGCATAAAGGCATTTCCCTAAAACGAGTGATATGAACTTCTATTTATCCCTCAGGTTTTCGTGATCTGCACGCTGACGGTAAATTCTGGACGCTTCTACTAACTTAATATTTTTATTATTTTTTTTCATTGATTTTTTCATTTATGTTTTGAATAATAACAGGGGTCTTTCTTTTAAAAAATTAAATCCCCTTTTCGATCATTTTAAATACAGTTGTGTATATTTACTTTTAAGTAAGCTAGATTTCGGTATGTGAAAAGAAAGAGACAATACAGGGCTTTCGCTTGTCTAAAAATAAATGTGAAATGCCATTCCGACACGGTAAGAAGTGACAAAGCCCCACCCCCTGGCAGAACTTTCTTGCCGACAAATTGCGAGAAAACACAAATTGACGTGACCCATACACAAACATCCTCAGATGATAGTTTTCCATGGAAGCCAAAATGTTCCTTAGCGGAACTGCTGATTCAAGCTTGGAACTATCGGCAGGAAGAGGAAGACCTAGTCTGCATAACAGGCGCTTCATGAGCAACGCGAGGCGAACGCGGCATTTTGCGCTTCGCAATCGTTTCGCGCTTCGCGCAAAATACCGCGTTCGCCTTGCTTTCATAAAGCGCCTGTTATGCAGGTCCAAGGAAGAGCTTACCCATAGCACGACTAATGCCAACTTACGATCACGCTCCTTGCTTCTCATTTGTTTACCGTAGCTTGTATGCAGTTTTAAAGTGCTGCTGTTGTCTGCGTGCCCCAGGGATTGACACTTATATTAGCTTATTTTAGCTGTGCACCAAGCCTGGCTGTGTAGTATGAGCGGCGTCAAAGGTTATGGACTCCCTTTTGGACACGGACATAACGGGGGGGTCCCCAGGGTACCCATAAACCCCCCCTTGTGAGGGAAAACGCTAAAAAACGAATCATTCAATGTCCAAGCCAAAATCCTAAATTGAAAAATCCCCTTTAAAAAATCCTAGCTATGGTAAAATGGGGAACAAAAAAGTCCAACTTGTTTTGCATTGCAACATTGCTACTTGCCTGAGTGCAGACGTCTCCTATTTCCTTTGTTGCACGCGTGCAACAAAGGAAATAGGAGACGTCTGCACGCAGGCAACATTGCTACAAAACTACAATTGTAGTTTAGCAATGTTGCAAGTTTTACCACCCACCGTGAATCAAACCTGTCTTGCTATACAAATCAGGCTGGTGCGGATTGCGAAAAGTTTGTTGTAGAATGTAGAGGGTAGTTCTACTTTTTGTAACAAAATCTGTTCATGTTTCGCGTTCACCGGCCCAAGACAAACGTGTTTCGCAATAGGGAACATAATTCTCGTGTATGGCTTGACTCTCTCGTAATTTTATCTAGTCAGAAGTCGGACTCACGCAACTTACAAAAACCTGGTTTGCTGAGTAGATGGTAAAATGCGAAAGATTGATAAACAAGCTACCTTTTTGTTGCCCGTTTTACCTTTATGAGCTTTTCAGGTGCCTATCATGTGATCCTGTTAGCGATTTTAGCTCAGATAGGGTACGATTCTGTGCTACCTGGAACTAAGGTCACTAAGGTCTGGAAATGCGTATGATTTTTATACATGTATACTAAGATCTCAAATTTTGGAGCTACCTTGGGGACCCTGGGAAAGGCAAACTTGTTCGAATTATCGGGAGGTTTGAAAAATCAGGGGTAAAATTAAAGTGTTTAATTGGTGAGGGGATGTTAGGTTGGGTTAGAAACATCGGGAATTTTTAATAACACAGGGTTCAAGAAAACGGGTCTAACGTTATTTCGCTTGATGCTTGAGGACTACGTTTCAGATCTGAAATAGGGTAGGAAAATGACATATTTTGGCTCTGAAAAAGGACAAGGGTTTTAGGGAATATGGCACAAGCCCCTCCCCAAAGTTTTTAGGAGAAGCCCCCGGTTTTGAAGGAAAAACTGATGGAAAAGTAACGGTGGAAATACCACTATTACAGTTTAGTATGATTTCCTCGGTTGGTTTTCAGCGAAAGAGCCAAAAAGCAAAGGGGCAGATCATATCACTTTTGAGGGAGGGCTGGGTACTTTCGTCAGCAAAAATATCCTACCAGCGAAATTAATACGAAACTGATTTTTGCGTGGAGTTAATGGTCATGTGTCTACACCCAAAAATTAGGGAAAAGAATTCGATTGTAGTAGTAGGTTTAGACAGAAAATTCTTGCCCTGACCAAGTCACCCATCCGGGCCGTGAGTCCTCAAAAGTCAAATAATCGGCCAGGGCTAATCCGGCTTTATCGTCCTTTTTAAAAATAGCTCTTCAGTCACAAAGAATCGGCAAAGGGGAGACTCGAGACTCAAGGCCTATAAATTGACAACTGAATCGAAGTGAAAAGAAATAGGTCAGTTTTTAGGTGATAGCTAAGAAATAAATTCAGCTTAAGCCTCCGATACTTTAATATACTGGAGTATATGATAACCTGTCTTGAACAGATTGTTGCCTAACCTGCGTGTGCGTGTCTCCCATATCCTTCGTAGCAGGCGGAAAAAGAGACGTCAGGCTACAGACGTATGTTCTGCACACAGCCGCTGGGTACTTTTGGGCCGCGCGCGCGGCTTCCGCTGAAGATGCTACATGGGACGATTCGGAACGACGGTTTTTAGTGCAAGACAGCGTTGCGTCTTCGCTCCAGGACATGCTATATCTGCGCGTACTGCATTTGTAGTACCCTGAATTTGCCATATAGCCGGAGCTACATATGCAAGCTGAGGCAGTTGCTTTTGCTTTAGCTTGCGGAAAGTGGAGAGATCAGGGAAAATAGCATGGTTAGCAAATTCCTCTTCATTACATAACTAAACTATATTGACAACACTAGATCATAGGTATGTCTATTTTTAACGACTCCTCTTTTTTACGTATTACTTACGTAGTTAAAGAGCTGTGCTTGTTCTTGTCCAGCATCGACTTCGCACGGCTCCCCCTGTCATTTGAAACGAGTCAGAGAAGCCCTTCGTAGACTATAATGTGCATATTTTATTCATCTTCTGCAATAAAATTTCATTTGCATTTTTATTGATCGGAACAGTTCCCAATCCGATATTTGCAGGATGTTTTGTTTTTTGTCTAGCGACGTGAATCAAACCAGTTACAGAGTTCTGTCTCCGGGTTTCAGCGAGTTTCAAAAATCGTTCTTCCGCCTTCCGGGCGTGACGGATGTAGGAACCCGAGAGGTAATTTTCTACACACGTAGAACAAAGAATATATTGTGTTGCTGTATTGTTGACAGAGATAATCCATATCGAATTCATGCTCAAGATGTTGCGTCAGAGAACACTCAACACTATAGGGGGAGGATGGATAAACCTATAGAGCGGATCAATTACCGTTCAGTTGTACTCGTCCGTACCATGTAACGACGGTGCAGTAACTATGATCGGATCCGAAGGAGCACAAATGTCCGTGAAAGAGTCATTCTATGAAGAGATAATTACAAAGGGACAGTTGTCTGCCAAGACCGATCTTAACTGTAATATTGAACTCGAGGATAGTGACATTTATACTTCAATGTGCAGGAAACAAGTTGATTCGGCAGTACAAACCGACTCTGTTAGCGATGGAGAAAACATTTACGATAGTATACCTGGAGACTGTGTGTCGCAAAATTGTGAGCAGTGCCACATAGATCGTTCTTTAAGCTGTGGAGCTGGTTACATTAGCAAAGATAGCATTAGAAGGGAAAAGGAGGTACAACAGGACAGTCAGAGCGAACAACAATCGAACTCTTCTTCAAGGCTTGCACCTCTCGAGTCGAATTCTTCACCCGATCCTGGCAGCTCAACGCAGTACGCAGAAATCATTCACTTGAACAAAGTTTCTGACTTTGTTCCATCACGACCTACTCGAGAATCGGAAAATCCTATTCTTAGACAGGATTTTTCTAGTAGTCTGTCCTCCTTTCCAAACTTGCGCGATTTACGCAAGCGCCTTACAGAAATGTCTCAGGAACGCTGCTTGGAACAACAGCGAAGCGCGCGGACAACGCCATTTGCTACACCGGAATGCCCGCGAAAACCAGGCGAAAAGATTGTTGGCCAACGTCTTTCTAAAAGCCTTTCGCCGAGAAACTCGCCTAAACAATCCCCGCGCGAGAAACATCCGCCAGGACCGATTTATGTTAATATGGAGTTTCCACTTGTGGAAAATGGTGACAACAATTCACGCCGGACTTCGGCTAGCTCCAGTAGCAGTATTAGCTTCAACGAGCGACAGAGTTTGAGCAGTACAGACGATTCAGTTTTTAAAGATACGGAAGTGTCCCCCTATGAAAATATCAGAGACACACTTGATTCGGGAAGTCTTAGAGAAGAAAGCGCGCCAGTCGACATAGTGTACAGCGATTTACACTTTCACGAAACTCGTCCGAAACCTAAACTAGGAAAGACGTGTTCGACACCAACTGGAAGTTGTCCTGGAAAGATAAAGGTCGAAGAAAGGTCTCGCTCGCTCCCGGGTCAACAGGTTCCTTTACAAAACAACATTTCAAGGCAGCCGAGACCAAAAAGCCTAAGCCTTGGAAAGCTGAATAAAGGGGCGCTTGGTTTTTACATCGGCGCGCGCTTTGTGAAGAGCACAACTGTCCACAGGGCCAACTCAAATACTCTTCAGTCGACTATTCACGATATTGTCTCTAAGACAACGCTAGAAGATTGCGTTTCGGTAAACGTAGAGGTTACAATGGATTTAATGCGAATCAGCACAAATTGCTCCCCGTGGGATGTCATTACAAGTTTTGGCATCGAAAACATTGGCTGGATAGATCTGTACAAACAGGACACTACCGTTCTAGGTATTATTGTCTGTTTGCCCGATGTAGAGGCAGAATGTCATGTTATACAGTGTCAAGACGCACAACTAATATTCAGTGCTGTAAAGAACGCTTTCAATTCTTCAACTTCCAAGGTTAGTGCGGTTTTACAGATTATTTTCCCTGTTGAGCAATTCACTGAATTACTAATCCACGAGGAATTGTTCTGTTTACTCGCGGATCGAATTTAAGCCCCGCCGGCTTCCGTTTGTGTTTAAAATTACACTGGCATTGTTTCGTTGTTACAATTATAAAGCAAAACAATCAAACATCCGTAAAATATTCTATGAAGGAATCTCTACCATATTCACACAACAAACACTGGAGCTGCGATTGTCTTATTGTCCCTTTTTCAAATTCAAGTGACCTAAAGCTCCTTTCGCTGAACTTAGTTATAAATTCACTTAGGTCACGGTTACCAAACATAATCTTAAAAAAACCTAAGAACGTGAATTTTTGCTGAAAAAGTAGGCAGGTATTTTGATATCAAGAACAACTAAAATGCTTACGAAATCCATTGTTTTTCATGGACGAAACAAGCGCCAAATTTTTCCCGCGAAATAAATGCCTCAAAAATGCACGTTATTGCTTTGTTTTGATACACGATCCTTATAACAATCTTTTCAGGTCAGGGCAAAGAGATTTCCTTTGAAAATTCAGCAAAATAAAGAATAGTTCAGTGAATTTTCTGTCTATTTGGAACAAGCGGCTAATTTCACGAGTTTCTCTTGCGTTGAGTACTATTTTCTTTAAAGCTCCTCTTTTTGCGTGTTTTGCGTTTTCCAACTAACTCAATCGACTTCCGTTGATCCTCTTGCCTCTTCAGATCCATTTGAGTTATTTGTAAACATGTTTATCGGCATTCACGTACAGATCCTAAAAATCTATACCTTTTTGTGTTCTTTCACGTTCAGCACACCACAACTTGATGAAAAAGCCACTCACAAAAAAAATCATGTTTTTTAAAACTTCATCACGCTGAATCTGTCAAACGCCAACGAATTCTCGTGGAGCTAAATTCATCAGGAATGAACACGAGAAAAAATTCTTTGTTGTATGGAAAAGACTTATAAAAAACGTCGCATTAGAACCGGTTTAGTAGTTAAGGACAGCAAACAGTGGAGAGTTGTTGTTTTCAATTGCCCGTTAGACATCTTAACGGGAGGTGTCAAGATTGAATAATTTACGGAGCGAGGAGTGTAATATATCTCTTATTCGTTAGCAACGCTTTTTAAGAGCTAACGTGGGCTGGTAAAGCAGTTTTTAAATCCCTATGTGGTAGTTAATTTCACAGAAACCGACGAAATTTTCATTAATCTGGTTGCGAAATCCCGTGACAACTAGCTTTCCTACTGGATTGGTAGACTACTCTTGTCCGTCGGCCCATCGGAAGTGTATGGAAGGGGGGGGTGTTCGATGTTCCTAGTAGTTTTCCCGAAATCGCCAAAGCTAGCAGGAAGTGCAAAACGTTCACGATAACAAAGATACCAAGGCTTATGTTATTTTAAGGTGAAATTGGAAATCCAATAAATATCCAATGGATTTATACTTTTGAACTCTAATATAAAAGATTTCCGTTTTTCAGCAAATCCTCCCATTTTTAAACATTCCCATTTCTGACCTTTGAAGTCCGTAAGTGGTAGGTGAAGACCCTCCACGTGCAGCTTGCGTGTTTATTTCGTAACTTTTAATCGATAACCGCTGGGATGTCACGCTATCCAGTCGAGTTGACAATTTTAGGCCTAGAAATTCACCTTTACTGCATATTTTTTACAGGCCTTCACTATTCCAGTTTCTACCACATTGGGTCCTGAAAGCTGGCTTGGCGTGCCGACCTTCAATGGTATTTCTTACCTGGGTTCTTTAAAAATCAAGAAGACGTATCTCCTCATGAACGAGAGTATCAGTTTGCTTTTGGAAAAAGCGCACCCCAAAGAATTCAAAAACATTTATCTTGAAGTGCGACCTGAGGAAATCCGTCTCATCGACGCTAAGGACAATAAAATCCTCCACAAACATGCCATTCCTTGGATTCTTCTACTCGGCGTTTACGAACAGGACACTCGGTTCTTCGGGTACGTCGTGTCGGAGGCCCGACAAGACGAAAAAACCAAGATGTTTTGTCACGTGTTCCGCTGCAGCCGAATCACGATGTCTGTGGCTGCAACCGAGGCAATCCGGGTAGGTTGCCAGGCAACTTACTCTGACCGCAGAGACTCGATTCGTTCATCGAGGCGCATTTCTTTCCGTTCAGACTGTTCCAGTGGATCCCAAGAGGGTTCGTCTTCCCCTTCTAATTCTTTGGACACTTCCGATTCTTTGGTACGTATAGTCTTCCACTCTCCTAGTACAGTCAAACCCAGTTAACTGAGGGGACCATAGAAAGAGTCTGTATTAACAGGGTGTCCGCATTAAGCGAGTCGAATTTAACAGTGGTCTTTTTGGGGAGGTCAGGTTGCCTACAAAAATCGAAGCAGCCGGAGTTTTTTTTTTTTCGAGCAGAGCTCCCGACACATACTTTTTGAAGGAGAATTTACTGCATGCAATTTCTTAGGTACGATATATTAAGCTTACCTTGCGAGCAGTGTTTCTCTCTGGCATGGCTTTTAGCGATTACGAAGTCGTTCGCGTCGCTTGTCAGTCGCGTAGTATAAAATAAAGCAACGTAACTAAGCGGCTGACAAGCTACACGAACCTTTGCTCGCAAGGTGTGTAAAGACCTGTGTTCTGACTAAAAGTTCTTCGTATACTGTGAATAGCGTGACAGATACAACGAACGTAGAGCGCTTCAGACTATGCGTCAAGTAGTCGCTTACAAGAGGTTAAAAACAATTAATTTTTTTAAAAAATTTTCTCCGAAGTAGTCGCGGTTGCTTTCGAGAGGTGATCGTTTACGAGAGGTTTCACGTACAGTAATGTGATGAAAAATTTTGCTGTTTTGGATAAGTGGTCGCGTATTACAAGAGCTTGTCGCCTAGGAAGGTTCGACTGTATACAGAATCTATTTTTTTACTCCCTCTCCTCCCCTTTTTTTAATTTGAAATCAGGTGCGCTTACACTAGACGTTTTCCCAAAAGCTTCCCTTGGGGAAATAGTTCACACGTTTTGCCATTGACTATTTGCCACCAGAATGGTGACCCATTGAGCTCCAACCAAGCCTTTCCTCACCCTTTTGACTATATTTGAGCGAGTAAACACTCAAGACATCCTTGTTACGTTCTCAGAAGTAAGAAAAGAAAAGAAAAAGATGGAATTACGTGAGGGGTTGCTGACAGGTCAAGAGGGAGGAAGTCCTTGTCAAAAAACTAACATCGTTATTTTTTTTATACGGCACGTTCAAGTCAGTCAAGTGTTTATCCTTACTATGAAAAATAAAAAAATCGATTAATCATTTCCCAACTATATTAAGTTTCCGATTAGAATTCAATAGCGCCATTGTTTTGTACCTTTTTGTCATACTAGGGTTTCACTCGTTTCACTGTAGTTTAAATAAGGAAACACAAATTGTAAACTTGCGAACATACGCCAGGAGCCATTCGTCCCTTTATCAACATAAATGCTGTTAGGTCCTCTCTGATTAGGTCATGAGCGAATTATTTCAAGTTTAACGCAGTAGAAATTTCTAAATCTTCATTCGAAATTACAGAGTCACATTTGAATTTTAAACTTTTAATGGGATCACCTAAGGGCCATAAAATTGCAGTCGTATTATGAAGTTTTTGGCATTTATATCAACATGGGTTTTTGCAGTTTGAGCCGAAAGAATATGGTCGTTTAAAAGGCGTGAACTTGTGTTAACGAAATGGTCGAAAAACAGAATGTTCGGAAGGCGAGGTTCCTCGGCCGGTGTTGAAGTATTGGCTACATTAAGGATCCGCGTGAGATTGGGTCGGTATTGTGCCGAATTGCACTATGGGGCTGTTTTGGGGACTCTATCTCTTCTTTTATTGGCTATTACAAAGTTGCGCACGCGCAGAAAACTGAGTCAAAATTCTTACCGCAAAACAGTTCCATGGTGCAATTCGACACAGCACCAAACCAGTCTCCCGCAAAATTGCCAATCGTTCAGTGACTTCATCTTTGCTGCTCACACTTGGAAACACATCTCTCTACTGTTTTTAAACTATAAAATTCAAGGTCGTGAAATATTTTGTTGTTGTTGTTGTTGCAGAATAAGGAACATGAAGAAACGCACAAAGATGTAACGCAGGAGAAACCTAAGAGCAAGGGAAAAGATCCAGCAAAGAAACACAGCCATTCAAAACTGAGGCGATTCTCGTCGATGCCGCATCTTCTTAGAGGTAGCTCTAAGAAAGACAACAGTCAAAAAGTGGAGGATATCGCTGATAAACGTCACCCGAGCAATGCCAGAACAGTGTCGGTAAGCTCGACAGGCATGGACGATGTTATCGATAGCTCTTGGGAAATCGTGGAAGAGGAGATGGACTATAGTTGCAATGCGACGTATCTCTGTTCGACGGTCATCAACCCACCTCTTCGACCAAAACATTTGCGCGAGTGCGTGAAACAGTACCAGAAACAGCAAACAAAATCGCTGAAAAAGTTCGGCATGGCAAAATCATCAAACGAGGTCGTTTTAAATCTGACCCTGGAGGGGGTGAAAATGACGAACGCCACAGAGAGAGGAGGACAAGGGATGTTTTTTCCCATCGATTCGGTGAGCCACGTGATGGCCCATCCTGAGAACGCAGAATACTTTGCTTTTTCTACTATCGTAACTGGCGACTCAAAACATAAGTGCCACTTGTTTGAACAAACGAAAATTCCTCCTACGGAGCTTATAGAGAGGTTCCAAGCATTTATGTAGATTAACTGACAGCATAATGTCCAGAAACATAATCCTCGGGCGATTTTCGTATGACTTAAAAACCTAACCAAAAACAGTTTAAGAGCCATGGGAGAGAAATTGACTTGCTTAGTTTCAAGCGGCTTTCTATTGGTTTCCATAGAAAACTGGTTGTTTAACAGCAGTATTCTGTTTGGTCAATCGAACAGAACTGCCCGATCTTTTTATTTGGGGTGATTTTATAGCGGAAAAACGAATTGATCTTGCTGGTCTTTTGACCTACCGGCGAATTTAGAAATTGCGTACTCATCAGTGGTTGAGGTATTTTTAAAGTCATCTGAAAATCGCTCAACTATGTAGGTTGACTGTAATATCTCGGCTAAGAGATGCAGTAATTAAAAATAAGCTTAGATATATACACCCCTTGTTGATATCAGAAAATGTCTTTAACCTGACCTGCTCACGTACAGGGACGCTAAGTGAGAGTAACTGAGAAAATAGTCAATTTCAAAGCCCAATCAGTTCGTTCGTTTTTGAACGTTAATCGCATCTTAGCAATAATATTGCATTCAATTTCGTATATCTTTTTCAGCGTTCATTGTGTAAATGTTTTGACACATTTTTTTTTTGTTTAATGTATTTTTTATTCTTTGGTTTCAAAAGATGACATGGGAAATAAACATTTCCTTAACAGAAAATTCTTGTTCTGAAGAAGTAAATACATTTTTTTTAGGTTTCTTAAGAAAATTTGTATTATAATGCTGAGAAAAAGCAACAAAATATATTAAAAGAGGTCTTAGTTATCTTTACATGTACAGTTTGACAAACGCTCTTTTTAATCCTGTTGTTGAAATTTTTAACTTAAAGAGAGAAGATTATTTATCATAAATTTCTTAAATTTAACAATTAATGTGTTTAAGCAATTAGGGAATTTTCCTTTCAATATAAATCATGCATTATTTGGACATTCCAGGTGTCCATCCCTACCCTCCCCCCTTAGTGCGTACCACCTCACGCACTACCCCCAAGTGAAATCTGATCCTAGTGACAATTCTCTAAGCCATACTGCTTTGAGAGCGTTTACTTCCCTTAAATTTTGCGCTGGAAGGTCCTTTTCTTCTGTGCTCATGGTAAGCTAACTTGTAGAACGGAGCGGCTAGACCAGTTTAGTCTTAAAGAGAATTTCATTATTCATTAAGACTTTCCAGCCAAATCAAAGACACAGAGAATAAAAAGGACTTTGGGGGAAAAGTTTCGAAAAACACCTTCATTTTTGAAATGACTGGTTCGATCTGTGAGTTCCTTTGGTAAGCAGATCATATTCCTAAGTCTTCGAGAAAAACGTTAATTATCAATCGCTCGAAATAGAGGCATTCAACCACAGACCAACCCAACAGTGTTAATAACTCGCTTTTAGGTTGTGAAGGTGTGGGGCTGTGGTTTCGTGGATATGTTTAATACAATGACAGTATCTCATAGAATGACTTTTAACATGGAAAATAAAATGTCAATTCACTACAAGAGAATGTTTGTCTTTGCATTTGTGCCATCGCATTGCTTTGTTTCTTTTTGTGGTTTTCCGTGTGAAAAACAAAGTATAACCTCGAACTTGATCCTTTGAAAGCACGCCGCAAGCTCATGGAGACAGGGATAGGATCGCCTGTATTCCAGACGTAATCTCGACCTTGGTCCCCTGCCAGTAACGACGGTCTGTGAAGCGACGCCGAGATCCGTTGTTCTGGGGGCCCAAGGGACTTACCGAACCCAAGGAATTACCGGAAGTGATTTTCGGATTTCCCTTCACCCTGATGGACCAATCGAACGATGGCTTTTCTTAACAGACCAATCATAGCGCCTATTCAAATCCTGGTACACAGCTGAGTATCCAGAAAAGTGTTTCGGTGCTGGTGGATGTGTAAAAATAAGAAAGCCTCTCCCAAGATAAAAGATTTTCCACAGTGTCTCAAATCAGTTTACTAATGGCGGAATTACCTGCAGAGAATAGCCCCACCAAAAAGTAGGAGCTTTCAAATACTTTATTTTAAAGCACCTTGTTCCGTTCTCCTTCCCCCGTGCAAATCATACAAACCTTCTCTCACTGCCTTCTCAATCAAGCCTCATTTGCCATAATAGGACCTCCTTAGCCCACGAGCAAGCTCTCCGTTGCGCTCTGGCGGCGGGACAGGAAAAAGAAAGAGCACCCAGAGACTTTGCTTGCAGGCTAGGACCTTCCGGCTGTCATCTCCGCACAGTTTTTCTTTTCTCACGTAAATGTGTAGCAATGCATATAACAGCGTGCATTTTAATGTTTTTATTGGTGAGTTTAATTTGCACCACCGTTTATGTGTATAATATTTGTAAGTACTATAAGTATCTGTTTTGTAAAGACTGCAATAATTTTTTGCAATGATAATAGGGATCTTAAGCAAGTATGGCGAGGACGGCGGCGAAAACGTTACATAAAAGGGAACTAGCGTTGTTTCAGGCTTCATCGCTCTTGTTCAGATGTTGGCGAATCTGGAGTTGAATTCTAAAGGACTTCATCTACGCTTACAAAAAGAAAAAAAAATCGTTGTCTTATAATATTCACATTATGGAGGGGCGTAGCGTCCATGTACGCACATACGCCCGTGCGTGCAGCTGAAATCAGGAGAACAATGTTTAATATTACTTCTGGAAAGCATTCTATCGTTCAAACGGGACTGACTGATAAATTTTTTCGCATTATATTGGTGTCTCTGTGTTAGTATTTCCTTAACCCTTTTATTAGTCCAAAAACGGACGGCAAGAAACGTTATAGCGGGGTGCCAGACGAGAGATTGCAATTCTTGCAATTCTGCACATACACAAGCACAAGAACGTTAATATTGATAGCGGTTGTAACAGAAGTCTCGACTTCTTGATGGCGTCTCTGTTTTACCTTCCTCCTCTCCCGTAAACACTGTAACAGTACCGATAACCCTTGAAATGGGTAAAATAAACAACTAACTACTGCATTTTCCTTCGTATTTTCTTTACTGGAAATGTCCTGCGGAGAACGCAGGAAATGGCATCTCTGAGACCCTCAATTAAAACATTTTCTGAGGGAGCATGCCTTCAAAATTTGCAGCCCCAACGGCGCTCTAACGTTTTTTTCTCGTGCGTACACTTTGAAAATCTCACGTTGCGCTATTGACATCCAGTAGACCTGCACCGTTCTAAACTTCTTATTTCACCGGTCCGCTTTAATCTGCATTTCCATTGTTTTCAGGGATAGGGGCATTGTTATGTGACAATCCCTATTGTTTTCCCATGCTAATCAAAAACAATCTTTCAAATAGGTGCGGGATCGCCCTTGACATCCTCCATAAAACGTGAAATTGGGAAGTTTCACGTTGGAGTCGTGCAACGACGGCTAAGAAATGTACAAAAAAGCGTGATGCACGTGCAAAGTTGTTTTGCTAATATAAACCTTTTGCTTGTGTGCCGTTCTCGTTGTCGTTTATTAAGCTTCATATTTTGTTTTCACGAGCAGCCGAGCTAAGAAGAGAGACTGACTCGGCGACAGATTCATAATGCCACGCAATGTATTGGAAAATTTCACAAATTCTGCGTTAGCCTCTCTTATTTGCCATATTTAGCCATGGGTGTAAGTGTAATAGCCCCATATTTGGGCAGTGACGTCACTGTTTTGCATTTACTCCTCGTGTTTCGAGGCCTGGTGATTCAGTGTGTTACTGTTCGTTGTGGACTATGGTTTGCGTTTGTTGAGTTTTTGCTGAGGACCTAACAGGTGAGCAAGCTTACATTTTCTTGTTTAAAAGGGCTATTAGTGTTCTGTTTTACGTTGTGGCCACGTCCACAAGAATCCCGATACGCTGAAACCGCATGCTTGATATTTGCGCCAACACGAATTCGGTGTCGCGTATCCGGTATGGATTCACCCGGCAGCCATTACTAGATATTAGGCTTGCGCCAAACCAAGCCAGATATTTAAACCGCGTTTTGAATGTTGTTGTAGGTATATCGAGCACAATGGCCACTCTGGAGGGCGGCTTTTAAAATATGCGGTTCCGGTGTGCAGATTCACTGCAGGGTTTCGTGTGGACGGAAGCTAGGCCGATTCGTATAATCAAGTATCCGGATTCGTGCGGTCGGGGCCTAAAGCAGCTGCTGACCAAGTAATTAATAGGGTTGTACGCTCAAATTTTTGCCAGAACCGGCGTGTTCTTTGGAGCTCGATTTACTCTGAGACAGCCCTCAATTCTCACACATGTCCAATAATAATAATAATAATAATAATAATAATAATAATAACAATAATAATTTATTCATTTATAGTGCGCTTTTTAAAATGCTAGGTGATCAAAAGCGCATTACAACAATAAATAACCTAAAAACTATTAATACAAATATTAGAAATATACAAATATATTTAATATCTAAGAGATATTAAAAGCTAATTTTAAAAGATAAGTTTTTTTTTTCCCATCTGGGACTCGGATTTTTTTTTTTTCCGAGTCCTCCTCAAAATTAATATCATGTTGTTGTTGTTTCATCTTGAAGTTTTTTTTTATACACAAACAGATACGATTCGTCAAACCGATGGTCCATTGGTGCCAATGGTACGATTGGTACCAATAAAAACTGATGTCATTTCAATAGTAATTGGTGAATATGCATCTCATTAAGAGGACTTAGATTATTTTCCAATAGAAATGGTCCATTGGATGTCATTTCAATAAAAAATGATGTCATTTAATGGTTGGTGAATATGCATCTCATTAAGAGGACTTAGATTATTTTTTCTCATGGTGGTCTGACAATGGGGTACCAATAGAAACTGATGTCATTTCAATGGTAATTATCATTAAGGGCTTAGATTATTTTTCCATGTGGTCTGGTGGACCATTGGTACCAGTGGTACGATTGGTACCAATAAAAAATGATGTCATTCCAATGGTTCTACTAGTGAATATGCATCTCATTAAGGGGACTTAGATTATTTTGTCATGTGGTCTGACTGGGTACAGGGCAATTCTGATGGTCCATTAATACCAATGGTACGATTGGTACCAATAGAAAATGATGTCATTCCAATGGTTCTACTGGTGAATGTGCATCTCATTAAGGGGACTTAGATTATTTTGTCATGTGATCTAGCTGGGTACAGGGCAACCACGCAAAACAATTTCGCTGTCACACGAAGTAGAACCGCGCTAATAGTTACAAAGCGAGGTCAAACTAGCACTAATAGTAATTGCTAACAGTTGCAATATAGCGAGGTCGAAATACAAACATGTCAAAAGAATGCTTCGTTCTATAAGCCATCTTTGAAAGCAAGTTCGCTTTTACTTACCCAGCCAGTCCCCTTAATGCAATGCATATTCACTAATAGAACCATTGGAATGACATCCTTTTCTATTGGTACCAATGGTACCATTAGTACCAATGGACCATCGGAATTGCCTTGTACCCAGCCAGGCCAAAAGAGAAAATAATCTTAGTCCTGAATCAGTAACGATGATAGTAACAGCCTACTTAGCAGATCCACGGGGTGACTCTTTTCCCGTCAAATAACATTATTTGCCATTATAAGTAATTTAAATTACAGGACTTAAAGTAATTTTTCTCTGTTCCTTCCCGCAGGTAGACAACGAACTCTGCAGGCTGTTCAAACAGTTTGTAATAGTATCACAATTCAGAAGCGTGCTTAACCCGCAGCTATCCAGCGACTACGTGTTTCTGGTAAGTATCCGTGTTAGCTGCTATAGCTCAACAAAATTGTCCAGCTTGGTGAAATAGCACTTGGAACTTGATTAGGAATTTTTAGGCCAAACAGGACTCTTGAGAACTGTAGGTCACAGTAATGAGGTGTAAAAAATGGAGTGGCGAGCTCTGATTTTCGATTCTCCCCTTCATTTCAGAATTCGAAAGGTGCACCGTTCTAAAGTTCCTCATTCACAGCACGTTTTATACAGAAAATGTTTGAGCAGCTGACCGGAAACAAGGTCGCAAGCTGTGGAATATTAAATGTCATCTTTCGTAACCTGGACATATTCCCAGAGGTAGGTCAACATCACTATTGAACTGCACGTCGCCATAAAGGTCGTAGGTCCCGGAGACCCGCCAGTAACATCACCATACAGAGCCCGGGGAGGGGGCAACGTGGAGATTTCGCCGTTCCCCATAAATTTTTGGAATCTGTTGCTTTAAAACACTATAGCCACACCACTTATAAGGGACCTTTTGTTTTAGAGACTATCTTTATGCCCCTCGAGAGATTTGTGTCGGAACCAGCGTGTTTCGCAGCTCGATTTACATTTAGTGAGCCCTCAACTCTCCTGAAGAATGCAACGAATTTCCCACCGTTGTGTTTTAAGGACCAACTTGCTCCAATTTACGAACAAAGCTTCAAGTCGTGTTGTTATTTATGTTTAATAAAAGTGAAATCCTAGAATGTGCCTAAGTTGTTGTTTCAAACTTGAATGAAATTTATTAGCCATCCCTGTCTATAGCGAAATCTATTTTAAAACTCTAAAA